AAACCTAATTACTTATAAATTTGGTATCCTATAATTTAACAGTCATAAAGGCAACACTATTCTTTTAGAAAGACCAAACCATTCTTTTCTTTATAAACCTCCATAAAGGGAAGGAAATACACCATGAAGGTATTGTCATTTTATATTTTTTGAAAGTATTATAGGCATATTCATTGATTCCAAAACCAAAAGTCAACATCTGAACCCAGGATAGATAATATGTAGTGAGTGATCCATTTTTCCATTAAACCATAAACTACTTTATTCACTCATTCAGCAATACTTATTGAGCATCTACTGTGTCCCAGGCATTGCGGTGAATGCTGGGGATACACTAGTGATACAGAACTAAAATTCCTGCCCACCTGGAGCTTACATTTTAGCAGGCAGAGGCAGACACTCACCAATAAATGTAAATGTAACAAATTTTAAAATATAAATGTAACAAATAAAAAAAGAATTTAAGAGGTTAAAATGGCGTGGATAGTACTTAAAAAAAGAGAAAACCTATCAGCAGGATTGGAAATGCCAGGGTTGGGCAATGGGGGCTGGTATGGTATATGAAATGGAGTGAGGGCAGGAACCATTTTCTGAACATGTCTGCATTCCTCACTCCAGTCACAATGCCCGGCACACATTTCTATTGAGTGAACAAATGAAAGGAACCTTTCATTACAGAATGTAAGTCGTGGTCTTGTCCATGGCAAGCATGAGGACAACTTACTTTTTGGCAATATTCTAATGAAGATTTGAAAACAAAGTAAATGATTAAATAAAATAGTATATTCTATAGACCACAGTAGAATAGAAGCACACCTCATAGTTGAGGCCAAAAACTTAAAGCTTTCAAATAAACAGAAGCAGTCAGATGTTCTCTTTTCCTGATTATCTCTTTGTGGTAGTTTTAAAGGCTCAACTTCATGTTTCTAATCATTGCATTTTATACCTTATCAACTGAAGTGAAATAAAATTCAGCAGTTTAGTGGTTTATTTCCTTGAAGAATAGAAAAGATACAAATATTGGCCTTGAAGATACAGGTGTTTCTATTTCGTTGTTTTGCTTTTAGTGCTCACAGGGAAATTTTTTATTCATGACCGGGTTTTGTGTATAAATTATGCATTTGGAATGGTCACAGCTGTGTTGCAACCTGACAGTCTTTGGCTGCTGGGGAGAGTCAAGCTAAACTGCTAGGCTCAGTCTTAACACTGAGCAGTGTATGAATGAAATGATGAAAGAATCTAATGGAATCAGTGCAATTACCTTCAACAAAGCTGACCAGAGAATAAAAGTCCACATTAATTGGCTTTTACCTGGAATGATAGCCACTAGTGTAATTAAAGGTTATCAGCAATTCTAATCAACAATTATAAACATATTTGATTAACGGGGGAAATGGAGATTATCAAAGTTTCAGCTCCCAGAAGCAGACCCTGAGATAAGGATTCAAATACAAATAGTTTATTTAGGAGGTGATGCCAGGAAATACTGCTGGGTATAGGGAAGTAAGACAGAAAAGAAGAGTATCACCAACCGAGTCACACTTCAGCAGCTGGTGACTTCTGGGAGAGAGTGTAGACATAGCCTCAGGGTAAGGATGTTTATGCAGCACTGTGGACAGTCACTGAAGGCCACTCTTGGGGAACATTCATTCCCTGAATGTGTGGGCTGTTGCATGTGTAGGTAGGCAGTGCAGACCCTGGCCAGCTGTTGGAGCAAAGCCTCTGGCAGAAAGACACATGGTCTAGATTCCAATGGCAGCCAGGTGAAGACCAAGAAGATATGGGCAGGGTATGAGGACATCACCACAGGGATGAAATAAGCTGATAGGCAGTGCATAAAAGAAAGACTTTCAAGATCTGTGGTCTGTAAAGAAAAAGGAAGCAGGACCTTTGTTGGTTGTTTAAAAAACTGGAAAAAGGAAAGGCAGAGGGAGCAAGGAAGAAAAAATGTATTAGTTCACTTTCATGTTACTGATAAAGACATACCCAAGACTGGATGATTTACAAAAGAAAGAGGTTTAATGGACTTACATTTCCACATGGCCGGGGAGTCCTCACCATCATGGCAGAAGGCGAGGAGGAGCAAGTCACATCTTACATGGATGGCAGCAGGTAGAGAGAGGTTGTGCAGGGAAACTCCTTATAAAACCATCAGATCAGCCAGGCACGGTGGCTCATGCCTGTAATCCCAGCACTCTGGGAGGCAGAGGTGGGCAGATCACAAGGTCAGGAGTTTGAGACCAGCCTGGCCAACATGATGAAACCCTGTCTCTATTAAAAAATGCAAAATTAGCCGGACATGGTGGTGGGAACCTGTAATCTCAGCTACTTGGGAGGCTCAGGCAGGAGAATTGCTTGAAATTGGAAGGCGGAGGTTGCAGTGAGCCAAAATCATGCTACTGCACTCCAGCCTGGTAAACAAGAGCAACACTCTGTCTCAAAAAAAAAAACAACAACAACAACAAAAACCATCAGATCTTGTGAGACTTAATCACTATCACGAGAACAGCACAGGAAAGACCCACACCCATGATTCAATTACCTCCCTCTGGGTACCTCCCTCAACACGTGGGAATTCAAGATGAGATTTGGGTGGAGACACAGCCAAACCATATCAGGAAGAAAGGGGAGAGAGAGGTAACGCTGGTGGTAAATAGGTAATAAGAATAGCATAATGCTAATGAAGCTATGAAGCTGAGCAGGGAACACATGAAGGGGACATTATACCATTCCCTTTGCCTTAGATACATTTGAAATACTTTTATAATAAATTTTTTTAACTAGAAATTTCACTAGACTGAATCTCCCTCCACTATTTTCTCCCCCAACCTACTTTGGAAGTCTCGGTTCCCCTTTCCCCTTCTATTTCTTCAAAAGGAATGGAGTTTAGTCCCATTTACTTTTCAGAAATTTCCTAAGAAATGATTTCAAATGCACAAAATGACTCTGAGTCTTAGAAGGATTTTTCTTTTTACTTTCTCTTTTTCTTCATTTTAAAAAAAAAAATTTATTTCTAGATATTAGAAGATCAGAAGAGCTTTCCTTGTTAAAGCCTTCTGGTGACTATTTTAAGAAGAAGAAGAAAAAAGACAAAAATAATAAGGAACCTGTAATTGAAGATATTCTAAACCTAGAGAGTTCTCCAACAGCTTCTGGTTCACCAGGTAAGATTTGTGACAAGTGTTTTGTTGTTTGAATGTAGAGTAAAATTCAAGAGGATAATCCACCTCTCCTCCCACCTCTTCCAAACAAAGGAGAAATTAAATTGCAGAACTGATGTGATAGGAAAGGCTATCTAGTTAAGTTTAGAATTAACAGAAATGTGTTTCAGACTTTTTTTTTGACAAGCATGCTTGATAACTCATTATTTGAATTGTATATCTGATGTTGCTGAGGAATGCAAAATTTTAGTACCACTGACCACAGATTTGGGATAAAGAGTGATATTTAGAAAAAAGATAAGTAGCTGGGTGTGGTGGGAGTTGCCTGTAATCCCAGCTACTCGGGAGGCTGAGGCAGGAGAATCACTTGAACCCAGGAGATGGATGCACTCCAGCCTGGAGTAAGACTCTGTCTCAAAAAAAAAAAAAGAAAGAAGGGCCGGGCGCGGTGGCTCAAGCCTGTAATCCCAGGGATTATAGGGAGGCTGAGGAGGCTGAGGCGGGTGGATCATGAGGTCAAGAGATCAAGACCATCTCGGTCAACATGGTGAAACCCCGTCTCTACTCAAAATACAAAAAATTAGCTGGGCATGGTGGCGCGTGCCTGTAATCCCAGCTACTCAGGAGGCTGAGGCAGGAGAATTGCCTGAACCCAGGAGGCAGAGGTTGCAGTGAGCTGAGATCGCGCCATTGCACTCCAGCCTGGGTAACAAGAGCGAAACTACGTCTCGAAAGAAAGAGAGAAAAGAAAGAAAGAGAAAGAAAAGAAAGAAAGAAAGAAAGAAAGAAAGAAAGAAAGAAAGAAAGAAAGAAAGAAAGAAAGAAAGAAAGAAAGAAAGAAAGAGAGAAAGAAAGAAAGAAAGACAGGTGGTCCCCAATGTTTGTCTGTGTTGATTTTTGGAGGCTTATTTGACTTCCAAGTCTTTTGATGAGCTGAATTTACAGATAAGACTATTACTTGTCTATTACTAATCTCTCTACAATTATGATCCATATTATCTTTTTTGTTTTGTTGTGTGTGTGTGTGTGGTTTTGAGATGGAGTTTCACTCTTCTTGCCCAAGCTGGAGTACAATGGCATGATCTTGGCTCACCACAACCTCCATCTTCCTGGGTTCAAGTGATTCTCCTGCCTCAGCCTCCCGAGTAGCTGGGATTACAGGCATGTACCACCATGCCCAGCTAATTTTGTATTTTTAGTGGAGACAGGGTTTCTCCATGTTGGTCAGACTAGTCTTGAACTCCCAACTTCAGGTGATCCACCTGTCTCAGTCTCCCACAGTGCTGGATTACAGGCGTGAGCCACCGTGCCCGGCCTTTTTTTTGTTTTTTGAGGTGAAGTCTTGCTGTGTTTCCCTGGCTGGTTTCAAAGTCCTAGGCTCAAGCAATCCTCCAACCTTAGCCTCCCAAGTAGCTAGGATTATAGACGTGGGCCACAGTGTCCAGCTTGACTTATATTATTTTAAATGGTGCCAACATTTAAAGTTAAAACTCATTTTAGTGTAAGTAATGTTAATATTTTCCTGAAGATTTCTATCCCTGGATTCTCATATCATAGTTCATGCTCCCCTTGCCTTGCAGCAAGTCCTGGTTTATACAGTAAAACCATGACCCCTGTATATGACCCCGTCAATGGAACACCAGCATCATCCACCATGACTTGGTTCAGTGACAGCCCTTTGACGGAGCAAAACTGCAGCATCCTTGCATTCAGCCAACCCCCGCAGTCCCCAGAAGCACTTGCGGATATGTACCAGCCTCGGTCTCTGATTGATAAAGCCAAGCTCAATGCAGGGTAAGGATATGGCTCCTTTGACTTCTCCCTGAGCTAGTGCCGACATAGTAAGGGATGGGGGGCCATGTGTCATTTTCAAGTTGGTAGGCCTAGGGATTGTACTTTATTTGCAAAAGTCAGTGCCGATTTTAGTAACAAAGGGGGAAAATTCAGTCTTTGGTCATTTCAGTATATTTAACGTGTGTCTAAATCTACATGTTTGGGTAACAATAGATTTACAATAGATAGCAATACATTTACTATCTGTGAATACTAATTCTTTGCCACCGCAGATATGGAAAGCATATTTTATGAGATGTAGGGGAGTTAATAAGTGTGTTGTCCCCAGGGGTCAGTGGGGGAGATCCCAGGTGGCCCACCAGGCTTACACTGTTGCTTGTAGAATGCCACTCTCCTCTTTAGGCATTCTAATGAGCAAGTCCTTGAGCTCTGTTTGAAATGGTCTCAGAAAATATACCCAGACTATTTCTAAAACTACCATTTCCGTTGTTCCCTATTACCTACGAGATAAAGTCAAACTTGTCAACAGCATTCAGCTCCCTAGAAGAGCTGGCCCCAGGAAGTGTCTCCACACCCTCCTGCACTCTTACCACCCCATGCCACCAGGTGCACACTCACGCTTTCTGTCACTATCTCACCTGCAGGACCATTCCCTTTGTGGGAGGTAGAAAAATTCCTCTTCAAAGTTTCCTTTCTTGTTTAAAAAAAAAATGTATAAAAGTTTGTTTTAAACACTTTCTTCAAAACCCTTCTTGCTCTTTGCTAAAAGCCCTATCCTATGTAGCGTTAGACATGCTTACAGGCACGTAGTACATTCTATGTCCTTGTATGTCTGAAATGTCTGTGCTGGATGTGCTCACAGGCATGTCCCAGCCTGCGGCCTCTGCCCCTTCCCTATTTGGATTTCCTTTTTTTGCTCTCCATTGCTTTTACCTGTTTAAAAAAGTTTCAAGTTATTAGCCAATCAAATTTTAAATTGTGAGGTCTGGCTCCAGCCAATGGAAATCAAACACAGTAGTAAAAGCAACCCCAAATGCATAAAAAATAAATATGTCTGCTTTCCTTTGTTCGTTGTACTCTTGTGGCGGAATTGCTAACAGGGGTTCCCTTTCTGCAGGAAGTAAAAAAAAAAAATGCTTTGCTAAAAAAATCCTTGGTGCCAGTACTAATTTTTCTTTGCGGCACCAAAAAGAAAAATTTTACACATAGGCGCCGGGGCTGCTGCTGTCATGGACACCTGGGTCTGCTTCAGTGCTCAGAGCCAAGCCCGGGAGCGGCTGTGTAGGGCCGCCCAGTATGGTTGCTCTCTTCTTGGCCATGCGCTGCAGAGGCATGGAGCCAGTCCTGAGTTACAGAAACAGATTAGACAGCTGGAGGGCCACCTGAGCCTTGGAAGAAAGCTTCTATGCCTGGGTAACTCAGCAGATGCTCTTGAGTCAGCCAAAAGAGCTGTTCACCTGTCAGATGTTGTCCTGAGATTCTGCATCACTGTTAGTCACCTCAATCAAGCCTTGTACTTCGCCTGCGACAATGTCCTGTGGGCTGGAAAGTCTGGACTGGCTCCTCGTGTGAATCAGGAGAAGTGGGCCCAGCGTTCATTCCGGTACTATTTGTTTTCCCTCATCATGAATTTGAGCCGTGATGCTTATGAGATTCGCCTACTGATGGAACAAGAGTCTTCAGCTTGTAGCCGGCAACTGAAAGGTTCCGGAGGAGGCGTCTCAGGAGGAATTGAAACTGGGGACTTGGGGGACCAGGGACCCCAGGAGGAGGTCTGCCCCAACTGGCTCTGAAACTTCAGCTCCAAGTCCTGCTCCTGGCTCGAGTCCTTAGAGGTCATCCCCCACTTCTGCTGGATGTGGTCAGAAATGCCTGTGATGTCTTCATTCCACCAGACAAACTAGGCCTCTGGCGTTGTGGGGCTGTGTGGCCTCGTGTCCTCCATCCTGTCTTTTCGCACCCTAATCTATCCCTGGCTACGACTCAAGCCCTGACTTTCTGGTACACGATAAGGAGGGGACCTAAATTGGTGAGATGGAATCTTAGAGCGTCTCTCATGTACCAGCCTCCTTCTAGTTCTACTTAAAAAGTTAAAATTAGAAATTCAGAGATTTGGGGTGGAGGAAGAGCTTTGGGGAAGATGAGGTGAGGAAAGGTGCTATGAAGTTAATAGGATGACTCTAATTTCTAGATGAGCCTGGGCTTCTGTTCTTTTCCTCTTTCATTGTCTGTGTCTCTCTTGAATGTATTTACTTTGTGCCTCTTAGGTCTATTTAAGATTCTGTGTCTATCCATCTGTCTCTTTTTTTTAACCTTCTCATTCTATCCAGAGATTTAATCAGCAGAATTACTTTTTTAGGGGAAGGATAAGATTTTGTCTGTAAGGTTCTGCCTTCTTTTTTCTCGCAGAGCTGGCTTATGGCAGAGTTTTCCTTCTTCACACTCCAAATCATAATTTTTAAGACTTTATGTGCCAGTGGACTCTTCCCTCATATCTCTGCACCACAAGTTGTTTGACGTTTCCTCTTCCTCCCTCGTGGCTACCTCACCAACCTTGCTCATGATTTGGCCCTTATCCTTCCCTGTACTCATACCTTCAGATTTCTGCTGACACTGATTTCAGAGCTTTATTCCCTAGCCTGTTCTTACCCCTCCATTGCTTATCCAGAATGATGCTGTGTCTAGCATCTTGCTGTAAATACTGCACAATGATTCTGTGTAAATAGATGTGGCCTGTGCCAATAATGCAGAGCAAGCCTTTCAGGTAAACAAATTAAAGTTCAGTTTGCTCATCAAAAAAAAAGAAAAATTTTACACATAACACCCCTTTACCAACTGGTCAGTCCCTGCCTGTCCTTTAAGGCCCAGCCACATGCTGTCTCCTGCTCAAGGATGACCTTCAAAATTGCCCCCCTCCTTGTAGCTCTGTCCTGACACTTTGCTCACTCTGACATCACATTGTCCCTTTATTTTGAGGCTTGGTCTCCCCCAGCAGACTGTCAACTCCTTTAGGAGGTGATTTCATGTTGGTCATCTTCTTTGCCCACCGGGGCCTAACATAATAGAAGTTCGAGTCATTGTTATTCAGTGGTATTGAATGACACTCATTTCCCTCTTATTTTGTTAATTTTTTTTTTTTTTTTTTTTTTTTTTTGAGGTAGAGTTTCACTCTTGTTACCCAGGCTGGGGTGCAATGGCGCGATCTCGGCTCACCGCAACCTCCGCCCCCTGGGTTCAGGCAATTCTTCTGCCTCAGCCTCCTGAATAGCTGGAATTACAGGCACACGCCACCGTGTCCAGCTAATTTTTTGTAATTTTTAGTAGAGACGGGGTTTCACCATGTTGACCAGGATGGTCTCGATCTGCTGACCTCGTGATCCACCCGCCTCGGCCTCCCAAAGTGCTGGGATTACAGGCTTGAGCCACTGCACCCGGCCCTATTTTGTTAATTTTTAATCTCCATTCCTCCACCCCTCACCATTTCCCAGTTTTTATTTCTCAAGTCTAGGACTCCACCATGTATTGTAGTACAGGAACCCCTAGCCACATGTGGATATTTAAATGTGGATTGGATTTTTAATTAATTAAAATTAAAATGAGGCACTGACAGCCACATTCAGCTGGGGCTAATGTATCGAACAGCACAGATATGAATATTTCTCTCATTGCAGAAAGTTCTAGACAGTAACACAGAGCTGGCATTGGGGTAAACCATCTGGTAAAAGAAGTGGTGTGGGCACTCAGGACATACGGATTCTCAAGCTGGCCCTATAACCAGGCCTGTGACTTTTTTTTTTTTTCCAGACACTGTCGTCCATGCTGGAGTGCAATGGCACAATCTTGGCTCACTGCAACCTCCACCTCCTGGGTTCCAGCGATTCTCCTGCCTGCCTCAGCCTCCCGAGTAGCTGAGATTATAGGCAGTTGCCACATGCCTGACTGATTTTTGCATTTTTAGTAGAGACAGGGTTTCAGCATGTTGCCAAGACTGGTCTTGAACTCCTGACCTCGGGTGATTTGCCCGCCTTGGCCTCCCAAAGTGCTGGGATTACAGGTGTGAGCCACCACACCCAGGCGAGGCCTGTGACCTTTAAGGATGATCTAATGTCATTCAGACTTTGTCTCTTCGTCTACAAAGATGAGATAATGAGAACTGCCCTGGCCTCTTTATTGAATTACTTTAGAGTATCCATGAGAAAAAAATCTATAAAGCATTTTGAAAGCTATAAGATAAAAGGCAAATATAAGCTATTATTATATGCTTAGTGGTTTTTGGTTATACAGATTGAGTACCCCTTATCCAAAATGCTTGAGACCAGAAGTGTTTTGGATTTGGCAATTTTTTAAATATTTTTTCAAAATTTGGGGATATTTGCATTATACTCTCCAACTGAGCATCCCTAATCCAAAATTCTGAAATTCAAAATGCTTCAGCGAGGCTGGACACAATGACCCACACCTATAATTCCAGCACTTTGGGAGGCCAAGGCAGGCAGATCACCTGAAGTCAGAAGTTCAAGACTAGCCTTACTAGCCATCATGGAGAAACTTGCTTTGTACTAAAAATGCAAAACTTAGCTGGGCATGGTGGCACACATCTGTAGTCCCAGCTACTCAAGAGGCTGAGACAGGAGAATCACTTAAACCCAGACGGCGGAGGCTGCAGTGAACCAACATCGCACTACTGCACTCCAGCCTGGGCAACAGAGCAAGACTACAGCTCAAAAAAAAGAAAAGAAAAAGAAAAACCCGCTTCAGTGAGCATGTCTTTTGAGCATCAGGTCAGCGCTCAGAAAGTGTCAGATTTTGGAGCATTTCAGGTTTTCAAATTAGGGCTACTCAATCTGTATGACCCTGATTTTGTTTAAGGATATATATGTAATATGTAATATATAACATAATAATATGATGGATATATGTAAAATTGATTGGCCTCTAAAACTCACACTATCGTTTTCTAGTTGGCTGGACTCCTCACGCTCCCTTATGGAACAAGGCATCCACGAGGATGAGCAGCTGCTGTTACGATTCAAATACTACTCTTTCTTCGACTTGAATCCTAAAGTAAGAAACTTTTTCTCTGTTCTCTTTGTCTTTTTAATATGAATGCATAGAAATATCAAGTTGAGGCATTTGGTTATGAAAATGAGGATGAGTTTATTTGTGTGATCGCCTGTTTAGCCCTGTTGGGTGAGAGTGATACATGGACCCTGGTCTCTAAATTTTTATTCTTTGGTTTCTACTGAGCACGGTAAGCTGCTACCGAGTTAGCTGGAGTCTCTAGGGATCTTAGTGCCTAGCGTGGCCACGCACTGCCCCTCTCCATTCGCAGGAATGGTCAAACAAGACAAGAGCGGCTCACAGAGCTGGAGTTCTTAATGCTGAGGAAGGAAAGGAGTTGTCAGACATCAGGGTTAAAGGCAGCTTCCCATGAACAAGCTAGGACCACATGATGCTACACACAGGACTCCGAACTCCGGTGCCTACTCTCTGGAATTGAGGGAAAGGGATCATCCGTGTAATCCCTTTTTCTCTGCTGGTCACCCAGATGGTTGTCGACTCTATTTTCACTGCCCATCTCCCACCTAAAGTCTGTCAGGATAACGTATGAGTGAGGTAAGCCCTTTGAACTTCTGCCTCTTCCTTGTTCCTGCTGAGCTGGTTTGCAGAGCTGAGAGTCGGCGGTACAATGGCCCAATGTCAATGATGTGAACGGGATGACTGCTCCTCTGAGCGCGCAGAGTCACTGTGTTCCATGCTCCCGTCACTAGTTTGTGTGTTTTGTTGCTCTTTTCCATTTACTGCCAGACACCTGGGGGACCTTGCCTTGGTCAGCCTCTCTGTACAGACCCTTTCCTCTACAGCAGTGTTTCTACCCCTTCTCCTTGGTTCTGACTTTATGTCTGTTCTGCAAAGGCTCACCTCAGCTTCCACTGTTTCCCCAACTGGCATCTTCAGAACAAACCTTGTTCCTTGTCATTTCTAAGGAGAAGTTCCTGCTCAGTCCTTGATTTTTATCCCAAGGACCAAGCTTGTATCTGGAATGCATAAGTGAATCATGGCAAAAGGGCAGATTTTGGCTTTTCTTCAATAAAATCTTCAGGAGAAATTACTGTGCTTCTTCTCCTACACAGTTAGCTTGGCATTTTTTTTTTTAACTGTACTGTGAATTATGCAACTGTCCATGGTTTTCTGTTTTTGTTTTTGTTTTTGCATTGTCTGCTAAAACCAAAGCCATACTTTTTATTTTATTTTTAAGCCTCATTCATGGCTCAACTTTAGTCTTTCCCTGCTTAATTCTTAATTTAAGCTATCTTGTTGTATGATGTCTGTTCTAATAAGCTGCCTTGCATTTTTTTCTGAAAATAGAGAACATATAAATAAAATATGCCCATGCATTTTCTAATTGCTAAGTCAATAATTTGGTCCCATCTTATGTCTTCAAATCTTTGCCCCATCTGTTGTTTGTTTATATGTTTATTTATTGAGCAACTACTTTAGGCCAGGAACTAAGTTGGGTACTGAGAACTCAAAACTGTTGTATATTAAAATAATGTTTTCCAATTAATAAGATACATGGGATTACAAAATGAAACAGTTATAATGAACTGTAGTGACCAAACCCTTTTTCAAAATGTATATAGTAATATTAGTAATATATTTTTAGTTAATTGAATAAATAAGATCTGATGCCAGTTCTCTTAACTACCATAATTTCAAAGTAGTGAGGTGGGTGAGCATTACTTGAAGACAGCAGCAACAACTGACATACAGAAGGAAAAAAGTCTTGGTTCTGGTGGTCGCAGAGTGGTAAGTACTCTGCAGTGTTGTGGCTCATGGCTCATGCTCATCATGAGAGGAAATGCTAAATTTCCATTAGAAGTCGGTGCAAATGGAGAGGTTGTGTTTCCTCATACAAGCTGTGGACCACCTGGTAATCAAACTCCCAAGTCCAAGAACCCCAGGTTCAGAACCCCTGCACTGAGACCATATTCAGGTTCCACTCTTTCCAGAAAGGAGCTTTTTAATACTTTTGGTCACATGGGACTTTGCCTTCTCTGAGCCACAGAGGAGTACTGCACAGTTTCAGGACTCACACCTCTAATCACTCCACATCTGGATGTTTTTTCTACAAATAGAGAACCAAGTCCTTGGAGACAGAGACCACATCTGATACTTTCTTTGCTCCCCCCGTTCCCCTCCCCCACCACCACACAATGCTGTGAGTCAGGCTTTCCCACTTTAGGCAGCTGATTGATGATAGGATCACTCAGCCCTTGGGGACCCTTCCAGCAGTTTCTTTGCCAAGAGACTCCCCCATTCAGTCTCCTGCTTCAGAACTGAGCTTGAGCTAAAAAGAATGCAGCTCAGTCATCCGCCCCCTGAAAAAACATCAGGAACATGTAAGTGACTTCACAGTCAAATAAGCCAGATAATGGCAGATCATTGGTATCAATATAGAGGAGCAGGGTTAAAAATGTATTTGTCTAAAAAGTGGAAGAAAGGAAATGAATCATACTCCAGAAGGGGACAAAGACACTGAAGCTGAGGGTCGCGAGGGCTATTGTCTCAGGCTCTTTGGCCTCCAGCCTCTGCTTGCTTAATTGGTGAGGCGCTCTGTCTTCGTAGCCTAAGAAGTGAAACCTATTTGAATCTGACAGCCACACAGAAACTGTCAACCCAAAGGTGACAGGAAGACTCAGGATAGCAGGACATGGCTTTGGGGCACACAGTGATCCTCAGCCACTTTACTACCTATGGTAGCGCTCCCTTCCCTCCCGTCTTGATATTAGAAATAAAATCAAGTTTAAGACTCCTACTCTGTGCTGCATACATATAGGGGGATATAGAAATTTGTGATGTAGGCTAGGCACAGTGGCTCATGCTTGTAATTTCAGCACTTTGGGAGGCCAAGGTGGGCAGGTCACCTGAGGTCGGGAGTCCAAGACCAGACTGGCCAACATGGAGAAACCTTGTCTGGGCATGGTGGCACGTGCCTGTAATCCCAACTACTTCGGGAGGCTGAGGCAGGAGAATCGCTTGAACCTGGGAGGCGGAGGTTGTGGTG